AAAAATAGTTTAAATAAAATTTTTTTAAAAATATATAAATAAATAATATAATATATATATAATAATATATAATATATATATAATAATATATAATATATATGTAATAATATATAATATATATGTAATAATATATAATATATATGTAATAATATATAATATATATGTAATAATATATAATATATTATATATATTCTACAAATATGTTAAAATAAATTAAAACAATTTATATAAAAAAATAATAATATATTTGTAACATGTCGTATCAAGAAACCTCATATCAATAATCTTTCATTTCCTTTTTCACTATTTATATTCAAAATATTGTACGTAAATATTATACATAAATATTATATATAAATACTATATATAAATATTATATATAAATATTAAAAATAAAATATAATCTCTTAAACAAAACCAGTAAACTCTTTGCGTTTAACAATCTGTCTTATTATAAGAAGTGCTTACAATTATAAAATTATAAGCACGAAGCTTTTGCAAGTTGTGCTGCATAAAAGCACCTTTTTTATGGAAATGTAAGACATGCTCAGTAATGCACATGAACTTGAAACTTTAGCGCACATCTTAGGAAATGCGGTAACATTGTTATTTTATTTTTTTTTCTGCAATCGTGCAGCGCTTCAAGCAATGTAACCAAAGGTCATGGTAGTTGAATAACATGAAAAATAGTAGATACTTTCCTTCATCCATTAAATGACGCTATGCTTGCTATGCAGTAACGTCTATTAAAAGCGTTAATATGTAGAGTTTTAGCAATATTTAAATAAATCAGAAAGATAATGGACATTTTATTTGTGAAAACCACAAGCAAAGTGCAAACTCAGAGTACCGAAAAGAGTAACTAAATCAAATATTCTTCAAAAATATTTTTTGTCAGATTGCTACTCGTTTCATCACAAGTTTAATAAATAATTTTGGGTTTTCCTCTTCTATTACTCATATTTGTTTTAACCTGTTGTCCATTACTATATTACCTATTGTATAGTAGGCTTTTGAACTCAATATTTTTTTCTTTAATGAGTTTAAATACTTTTCTCACTAATTTATGTTTAAATACGGTGATTAAAAAAATTACTTTAAGAATTATATTTTTTTAATATAGCCAGATTTAAACACTCTACAAAAATAATTTTTTTAAATCAGACTTAAACACTTTACTTCTGTACTTTATAATAATCATGACTTGTTAATCTTTACGCTTTTGCTTCATATAACAAGTTTACAAAAAGGAATTAAATTTTAGATAAAAACATATATATAAAAAAAATAATTACAATTTCCACCTCTTTTTCTTATTAAGACTTTAATAGCGAAATAATTGCACACGGTAATATTTTAGAAAGATTGAAAAAACAGCAACGTAAAGAAATTCTTTACGCACTACGAATATGACAGTCTAAACTTAATTATGAGTACATTAAACCCTAGAAAAAGAATTAAAAATATAAACAAATGTTTATGAATGTGAGAAATACAAGCACATAATAGCAAACTATTATCTACAAACTATTATTAATAATTATACTTTATGAATTCAACTTACCAGAAATATCATTACATATCTGTATTTGTTTTAGTGACGAGAATATGCGTAAAGACTATATAAAGAGTGATATGAAGGTAAGAATGATAATACCTTGAAATATTAGAATTCTTAACTTAATCAAAAAAATAAAAAAAAAATTGTATATTATCTAGGTAATATACAAGTGAGAAGAATATACTATATGATTATAAATTACTAAGGCTTGTAGCCACAGAAATGGTTGTAGGCTCATTATAATGACGGAGATCCAGTCTGGAGGCCTTACTAGAAGTCTAGACACCAAATTATTAAGATTGATCGAATGTAAATACAGATACGTATATGTAGTTTATTATTTTTTGAACTATACGAAGTTCGTCATTATTTTGTTAAAAAAGGTAAAATCATAAAAAAATATGGTATAAATTTACCGCTAAACAATAGGTGAATGGCTGAATAGGAAGGAGTCTACTTCAAAATAACGAAACAGTACTTCAAGAGATTCTATTACGAGTAGCAAAGAATTTAAAATTGAATTTAGACTTGACAACAAAAGTTATTATGTACACATATAATTTTATCTCACTCCAAATACGAGTTTTTATATCAAATCTGAGTAATGTTGTATTTAAAACATAATAAATCACATATAGGATGTTGGTAAATTACGTTTTTGTTTCATATTAGCTATGAGAAAATTAAAAAATCCAACAAGATTTGCATTCTCAAGTTCACTGTCGTTATAATGTCTACAGTTGATTGGGTTTAAGCATATCGAAAGGTTTTTTTTTATTCAATAAAATGGATTATTTAAAGAAAACTAATTTATTTATTATTGTTTATTAACTAAACAACGTGAACCTGTGTTTATAAATATGTGGTTTTTAGGAATAAATCATTTTTATTGTACTCAATTTCAAAAATCTTAATGTCGATAAAAATTAAATCAAGACCTTTCGTGTATTAAAACAGAAATAGAAAATGCTTCATGCAATCTCAGAACGAATTCAATTTTTATTTTAAATAGATCTGTGAATATCATTAATAATTCTATTAAAAGGTCTGTTATTCTTAACCATTGATTCCAATAAAAATTTTGTCTCGTCTTCGGTTTAAAATTTCTGAAAGCAATGGTTCTGTTTAATCACCCCAAAAAGAGTGTTAGTTAAAAATTAGGTTAGCAAAAGGTTAGTCAGGACAACAGTGATCTGATCCATTTGGGGCCAGTACCCCGTTTATTTTTTTGAAGATATGCCCTAAATACAGTTCAGAACAAAACCGACTCATAGCCTTAACACAAAAAGCGGAGTTCTGTTTAAAAATCTATTCATTTGAGAATTATTTTAATGCCCTGATTTAAAAACAGAAACAAAATACCTTATATTGGATCAAACTCTACTTCACATCCCACTAGCTTTTAACTTAACAGACCTCAATTTTCTTAATTTTTATTAAACCCATTTCTTTATGTAAAATCTAAAATGTAAAATAAAGTGGTACACTTCTACTAAATAAACCTACGAGAGATCCTTTCCGTAATCGAACACCATTTGATTTCATTTATGCAATGTTGCACACACGTTATTAACATATTTTTTTAATCTTGAATTCAACATGAATTAAATAATTATATTTTAAATCAATTTTTGCATTTCTATCAATCAAATATTAATCGGTTTCTTAAATTAAACCACGAAGATTCGTTTTAGACAACTGATCACAATGAATAAACTTCAATCAAGGTCTTTACGGGTCTAGAGCAATGGCATTCCATTTCTTTTATGTGCCGATAAGTTCGAAAGTAAAAAAGTAATTGAAAACGTTGAAATGGAAATCAGTCATACCACCGCATGCAAAAAAGATGCGATATAAATTCAACGTTTGTTTATGTTGTGGAAATGTAGGATCAAGTATCAAAGAAATATTACGACTAAAACGTATACACTGTAAAAAAAACTATTATTCACAATATATATTTATAAACAATACTATGCGATATTTAAATCTGTTTTTGAATTTTCGAATGGTTTTAGGTTAATTGGAATCGGAATAACTGGAATTGCTTTAACATCAGCTTTGAACCAATTTTTTTTGTAAACATCTGAGTGGTGCCTGGCTATAAAGAGTTATACTTCAAAAATTGATGTTTGAAAATTGAAGTGGATAACTGGATAGGAGTAGAAGTAGAAGTAGAAGTAGAAGATACTAAAACAGTATGTAGTAATGTTGACTCTTAATATGAGTTTTTCAGTATTTATTAAAAGATTTTTTATTACTAACAATTATTTTTGCTCTGTTCAAAATTCTAAAATTTTCTAAATCAAAATGTATATACCTGAAAATTTGATTGTCAATTTTTACTTTTCAAAGTAAACTTCTCTTTTTTAATAATGCCACATGAACACCACAAGTACTTCAGTAATTCTATTAAAAGAATCAAAGAATTCAAAGTTAAATTTTGGCTGGATAAAACAAGTTCTTTTGCATTGATATTATTTTATCTCAACTAAAATACAAGTTCTAATACTGCGTTAACATCATAAAACTTGATTTATTGTAGATACCTGGATGCTTGACGATAACGGTTTAAAGTTTAAAAATTGAGATTTAAAAAACCAACAAATTTATTTTTATACAAGTTTCGATACAAGTTTCGTGTCTTTACCAAACTTTTGACGAGTAATAACAAATAGATGCTTCGTTCATCTTTACCCAAAGCCCTTGTTCTTCAAAAATTTTCTGAAATTGTCGTATAGAGAAAAAACAACGTAATATACAGAATCAGAATTGACAGAATTAGTTACATATTAAGCATTTAGAACTTAAATATCAGTTTTGGATCCCAACTTTAGTAAAATTTCCTAACTATATTTTTCTGTCAAAAGTATGGGCCTAAAATATTAAAATTGAGTAAGACAAATGGTGCCGAATCAGGTAATGACTTTCCCTTATGAATACGAAGCGAATTATTATTTTTCTTGTGTAATGCTTTTGTTTTTATAGAATAAGTGCCCCAACAAATAAGGATTAGATAAGATCACTTAATCAATATGCAATCAATAAGATTCACAATATTGTTAAAATAGAAAAGTGTTAAATATTGTATTAGACCAACAAAAATTATTATAATACAAGTTAATAGTAAAGCAAATAGTACAAAAACGAAGTTTCCCTGATGTTTTTCGAATACCACAAACATCTTATGAAAAATATTTATAGAAAATATAAATAATATGATGTATTATATAGTAGTTCATTGATCGATTTTTCAGTAAAAAAAAAAACAATAAAATATTAGAATTTACTTATACGAACTTACTCTTACTCATAATCAACATTATTTTGTTACGAATATACTGAAGTAGTTTTAAGAAATATCTTCTTACATTAGATTTATTAGAAAAGTAATGATGACTGAAACTCTTATTTTTGTAAATTTTATACACACTTTACTTTTATTTCCAAATGAAATTTTTTTTAGTGTATCTGGTGATAGTGATAGTGCATTCACTGTTTACTGAGCATTGAATGAAATTTGATCTTATGAAATGGAGCAATGATGTTATATGTCAGGTACGTACAAAGGCTTCAAAGATAGTTGATAAAAAACTTTGGAACAAGCATAAATAAAAGCAACTGCATTTATAAAAATTTCATCAAATATTTCATTTTTACCAACGTGAGCAGTCGTTATGCTGCACATAATTTCATAATAATTAAAAAAGGATTTGTAAAAACGGTAGTGAGGATAAGATATTAGTACAATTTAAAGCCACTACATATTAAGCCCTGGCATATGTGACTAAAAACACTGTTTACTTTTTCCTTCACAATTTAAAATGTTAAAGACTTATTTGTATTTAATTGTAGTTATTCATCTGTGTATAGTAAATATAAGAGTAGTGCTTGCAGATAATGATGAACAGTGAGTTTTAAAAAGTTATTAATAAACCAAAAAAAAATTATTTTTAAAATTTATATCTTTCTAGTGTACATATCAAAGTGCATGTACCAAATGTAGTACGTAAATATGCACATAAAAAACTAAAGTTGCATTACTTGCCCCGCTACAATACAATAACTCCACATTACTCACAAACAGTTTTGCCTCCAGCCAATACTTTTGATCTCTTTCCCGGCGCCCACGAAATTACGCCTTACTTATCCAACAGTTTTTCCCCACTAACAATGGAAACAGATTTTTCATCTAGCAGCAAATATGGACCTGCAGTTTTTCAAACCGATCCCGACACTACCAAACAACAAATACGCATGCCAACTTTACCATTGCCACCTTCAGTATCCGCGCTAACTGCTGCGCCTACCTTTACAACAACGTCAACAGATTCAACATCAAATCAGCATATGATGCAGCATATGTTTACACCAGATATGTTGACAACCCTTACGGACAATGGTATTGATACAAATATGTTAACAACCGATGACTTCTTCGCTGAACTACAAAGGCAATATGCACAAATCTATCCTCCGCCAGATATGCTGGCCGAAGTTTTGGCACAAACTAAAACGCCTGTGGTGCGTAAACGTAAGAAATATGCCAATCTCCTTAATACGGATGATGCATATACCGCTGCAACATTACAACCGCAAAAGCTAAAGCAACAAACTTTCAAAACCCACAACAACAACAACAAGTACTATCAACCACAACAGCAGCAGCAATTTTCATATACCAACAGCAATAGTTACAATGACAATTTGAACTTTGAGCATTTTGGCATTTTAGACGATTCGGATGAGTTTGCTGCCGATACCTCAGCTTCGGTGGCGGTAGACGAATTTGAGGAAAATAATTCTGACTCCAATGAGGAAACAAATAACTTCAGTAGCGGTCCAAGTTATAGGCATCATTATTCAGGTTATAACTTTCCCAAACCAACAATATCAACACGGTTAAGTTCACGACAACAGCAACAGCAACAACAACAGCAGCAGCAGCAACAACAACAATATGACCAACAACAAAAACAACTGCATCAGCAAGAACAATATTTGCAAGAGCAATTGCAACAGCAATTGTTACAACAACAAAAGCATGGACAGCTTTTAATGCCTGCAGGAATACGCTTAGCATCTTCAACACCAATTAGTAGCAGCATGACAAATGTTGCATCTACAGCCACATTGGGCAATGAACATGAACTGCAGCAACCAACACAAAAGCAAATGCATGAGGAATACCAACTTCAACAGCAACAGCAACAACAGCAACAACAACAACAAAAATTGCGTACAAAAAACTATAAAAATCGCATTAAATCAAAACATAATCGCGTCATTTTGCCGTAAACTCACAAGGATCAAAAGTAAAAGTAGTAAATCAATCCTTTTGTCTAAAATGATTGCAACGTTTTCTTAAATTTAATGCACTTTAGATTCGTTCTCAATTGAATTTGAATTAATTGAATTAATTAGATTTTTCTAATATTTTAACAAATTTCTAATAAAACTGTTAGTATTAGAAACTTACACAAGTCTACCTTGTTTGCTTTCTTTGTTCAAGGATACCTTAAGAAATGCTTCTTCATATTAATGGACTTTCACAAAAAAAAAATTAATGGAAAAAGGAATATCGATTTAACATTTTCAGTTAATAATTTTTTATAATTTTATTACATTTCTTGAAATCATTGCATTTCTTTGAAATAATTTAGCAGGATAGAGTACAATCACGACTTTATCAGTAATATAATTAAATTTTGTTTTCTTCAATCTTCAGTAGAGATTTAATGAGATCTGACCTAAAAAAATATTTGACATTTATTTTTTTTTTTGTAAAAAAACCTATATAGATTTATACATCTTTTAATAGCTAATAAGTAGAGTTTTAGCATTGAAACAGTATTATTAATGGATTAGATGTTTTCGTGATTCTTTAACTCTTTTTAGCAAGTCATTCCACCAAATCTTTCGTACTACATAAAAAATAAATTTATGGTAATACATATAGAATATAAAGAAATCACAAGTGAATGATATTGCTATATATAAAGTAAGAAATTTATAGGCTTGTGTAAAAAAACGTTATCTAATTATTTGATTTGCTGTGAATCTGAATAAATTTTAAACGATAATGATTAAGCCCGGACAGTATTCGATTTACCGCCTTTGGTTGGATGTTTAGTATCAAGTTTAGTAATGGTATGATCAAGAGCATATTGTACTCCGAAATATAAAACATAACAAATTTAATTTTTAAAATCAGTTATAATTAGGCCGTAAAATAAAGCATTTTTTGAACAAATATGGACATATTTTAAGAAATTATTTTATCTTTAATGGCTTTTTAGCCTAAATTTCACATATTTGATTTTTTTAGTATTTAAACGTTTTTGCAGAGTTGTTTATTATACAATTGTTTGAGCAGTGGCACTTTGGTAGCTGTTTATTTTAATTTATACATTTGAACTAAGTTCATCAGTTATTGCGTTGGAGAAGTATAGATATTCACTTAGGTTTTATTATGATAATTTCAGCATTTTGTATGTTTAAAATGAATCGACAACTTATTGTCGTTATTACGAATGTGTATACCCTAATATTTGGTATACTGATTGGTAATAAATAAGAAAAAAATATACATTAAAATAAAAGTAAGTATGAATGAAGTATGAAATAAGTAAGTATGAAATAAAATAAATTTTTATAAAATAATATAAAACAAAAAAAAAATATTACTGAGCTTTGGTTATTAATTTAACACAAAAATAAATTAAAATTAAAAATTCTTATTCAAATAAAAAATTACACTTATAAATTTTGTGGTTACAATTGGTCGTAATAGCAATTTATATAGAATAAAAAAAAAAAAATATAAAAAAAAGAATATAAAAAAAAAAAAATAAAAAAATAAAAAAAAAAAAATAATATAAAAAAAATAGTATAAAAAATTAGCTTCTTTGTGGTCATAAGAAGCCCCGCTTTTTCCGCATAAAAATAATTAACATTTTATTTCTTAGTTAATCTAAAATACCTATTTTCAAAAGAGGAGAATACCCTATAAATCTTGATTAATTTAAAATTTTAGATTTATTTTAATAATTTTTTTATCAATTTTTAAATACTATTATTGGCGTGATATTAAAATTGAAATAACCAAATAATTTTTGTCATTTATTTATGATTAATCTATTCATTATTACATAAGGCTCTATTTTCAAAATCACATTTAAAGTGCTGATAAAAGAACTAAAAAGCAATCTTCAGATATATACATACATTATATTAAAATAAGCGATATGCAGCGATTTTACTGCTTTTACAATTTCACACACAATGATTTGCAGTACTTATTTAATAGGAACTGGAAAATGATTGAGAATTATATTTGCAATTAACTATGTTATAATAGCAGTTGTGTGTTTATGTGTCAATAAGGCATCGTAGTTTACATGTTGGTATTTGGTTGGTATGTAATTGTATGAATATAGAAACTATATCAATAAAATCAAAGCATTGAGGGCTTTCATAAACTTTTTTAAAAATTATGGAATTAATAAAATATTTTTTAATTTTAATAAGAAAAAGATTTATGAAGCATATTTCAATCTATTTATGGACATAATATATATTCATGGGGATTGATTTTTGGTTTATAGTTTTGGTGGCATCAGCATCTTGTTCTTGATATTTGTTTGGCTTGTTTTG